GCCTAATACGGATTACAGGGTTTTTGGCCAAAAATTTTATTAGGGAAATTTAAAGTGACTATAAGTTTATGTTGGAAAAATTGAGTAACGAATTCCAAAATTGATTATTTTTCACCGAGCTTCATAATTTTTAATGACACGTTTTTCAATCATAACTAGAAAGCAGGAAGTTTTTCTCTGCAACAGCCTTCTCAACAGCCAGTACGACTAATTTTTACGGCTTGGAGACGAAATTTCTAAATTGTTTCTTCGCCTAATTTACCAATAACGACTAAAAAATAAAGTGACATTTTGTAATGTCACTTATAATTGATTTAAAACAAAGAGCGGCTCTAATCAGCAAGCATGCAGTTGCTCGATTGTGCCTTGCATAAGCACTGTATAAATTACCAGAAACTCCGGCACTTCTGGGGGTTTCTAGACCTACAATTAAGGATTCTAACCGTGTAGACACTCTTTAAGCAGTAGCCTCAAAAATTTGTTTTTACATAGAAACTCGTCATTGTCTCTAAAATGCACAACCAAGAATTTGCGGGCTCTACATACAATTTCTCTGCTGCAAAACTAAAAAACATTGCATTTCATGAACATCTTCCCTCGCCAACGTTTTTCAAAATTCAAAAATTTCAATTTCATTTATTCTGCTCTACACCCGAACGCATCTACGACAATTTTTCATATTCCCCATCTCGAATCCCCGAAGACATAATTTATGTCGTAACGGGCGGTCCACTTTGTCCGCCAAATGTTGCATGTCTGAAGTCATGGAGCCGGCGGCCATTTGATCCTCTTTCTTTATTCAAATGACCAATGCGTTTTAATTGAAAAGAAAAGCCAACCAAAAGGGCAGTGGTCATTAGGAGGGGAGAGCATTAAGGTATTCTTTTCACGCTCATGTTGTGTGTTTTGGCTCGAGATGACGGATGGGCATTACATTCGCCGAAGATATATCAAAATTTTATCCGGATATGAGGTTGGGAATTTGAAGAGGGCGTTTGGGGAAGAATGAGTTGAAAGGGTTGGAATTAAAAGCATGTTTACTTCATTAATGCTGTATTCATCAATTTAAGGTTGTTGCAAACACATGCAAAGAACACAACTACATTTTTCAGCCTACGGAAGGAATAGTCATCAGCAAAGCCACGGCTCTGCAACGACATTCAACGGTTGAGCCTGAGCTTTCCCCCTTTTCTGTACTGTCCCTCAATCTGAACTCTGCCCCCTTTCAACTCTCCGACAAAAAAATGCTGAACTCTCCTTTTTTTTTGATTTTCGCCAAAAAATCTGAACTCTCCCCCTGTTTGAACACTCCCCCATTTTGAAAATTGAAAAAACGAGGTGTGACATCTTATACGATGGAAAAATTTTTTACTTCATCGTATAAAATGTCACACCTTATTCTTTTCGATCTGAATAAAGTTTTCATCGTATAAGATGTCACACCTTATTTTTCTCAATTTGAAAAAAAAATTCATCGTATAAGATGTCACACCTCATTTTTCCAATTTTCAAAATGAGGGGGAGTGTTCAAAAAGGGGGAGAGTTCAGATTGAGGGAAAGTCCAGAAAAGGGGAAGAGTTCTGCCGCAACCCACAGCTGCATCTCGCCATGAAAGGCAAAACGATATTCAAAGTCCATCGCAATCGACGAGAACGTGAATTTGAAAATGATGGAAGATCAATTGGTGAAGCAGCAGCGAAATGAAGGTATTCGCGCTGCAAGCTATCGGAATCAATTGTGTGTATTTCGGCTATCTACTCGGCCAACCTGTGTTGTGATATTTGGAAGGATAAACGAAGTCTTGCTCATTGTTGGAGTTTTTTTCTATTACAGCGTACATAATATTATATTAGAAGTCTGATCGTATTGACGGGAGCCGAGATCTCTTCCATGATCATAAGTTATTGTCATCACTTGACAAATACCATCAATTTGCTTTCAAAAATCAACGCAAAAAATGACCATCTTTCTCCTTCAATTTCCCCTCTCTTCACACCTGCATTACAATGTTTATTCAACACACAACTCTCACATCTCCACAAAGCGCATCCCAGTTTTGAGTTTCTCTTTTCCGAACGCCGACTTTTGTACCGATTTGTGCGCGGCCCAGCGGGATCCCGGATGAATATCTGTCCTCGGTGCTTTTGAGGACCGGGCTTGCGTAATAAGTGGTTTTGGCGGCGGAAAAAGGGCTAAGGGACTTGGACCGTACTTTTGGGGGGCCCTAATGAGAGAGCGCGCGAAAAATCAATGGGATTGTCATAATTGCCGGTGGCTTTTGTGGTTGTATATTACTAGGCCATTTGCAAAGTCGATGGAGTGGTTTTTACGGCATGGAATGTGGTAAAATGAGTTTATTTTCAATGATTTTTTTGCAATAGGCATTTTTGGGCTGCCGCTCGCACACTGACACTCCAGCGGCTTTGCGAACGGCCTACCGTGATATCTTTAGGTTTTTTGAGTTTTAAAATGGCCATTAAGAAATTCTTGAGCGTCCTGTCCAAAGCGACAGTAATCATTCGCTTTTACCGTCTCTTTTCCCACTTCCCTTCACAACCTACAACTCCTGTTTTCGCCAACCCCGTAAAACGATCAGAAATTGAACGCCTTTTATCATAATCGCCGTTCGCCGTCTCGTATAACCCGAAAATCTGCGTAATTCCGCATTCCGCTCTCCCTTTGACCCGAACGAAAAGCGTTGCAGATAGCGGCGGGCTGGGGTCAACGTTGATGGCGCAACAAAGCCGAAGAGGCCGCAAAATGAAAGAAATCCGGTAGCTGACGTTTGGCGGGTTATGCAATCGGAAGATGCATTAGGCGAGCTGTTTTTGGCTGCCAGGTGGATATTGGGGGATTTGGGGCTGAAACGGCAAGGTAGTTTGTTGTACAGTTGCCTACGATGAAGGTGTCTTATTTATAGCAATTTTCGGGATTTTAAAAATGGTTTTTAGTCAAAAAAGACCCTTGTAGGTATCTCAATTGTAAGGCTTACTACAGTGAACTGTTACTTCAGTTCACTATTTGCTTAGTCCTTATTTAGAAGCCTTGTTTAGAAGTCTTATCCACTAGCTTCGGCATGCAGTTTGGACGTAGCCCCACTGAGCCAAATCTAACCGCCTTTGACTGCGTATTCCTTTTCCTGCAACCTCCATAAGTGCTCTTTCTTCCTGTCCCCATGATCTCTTTTGCGCAAGAAGATAAAAGCCGAGCCTTTAGTGGAATCCTGAGAACAGACGGCGGAATGTCGCGGAAGTTTGCGTAATCCGTCAACGCAATAAATAAGGAGCGCCGCTGAATGAATATTCATTAATTTTACGTTTGTAGTTGGCATAGGTTTTTGTTGAATGTTTTTGAGTTTATTGTAAAATTAGTCAGCTATAATTCAACAGTTAATGCAGCAGTAGAACTGCGTATTTTGAAACGTTTTTTTACGCCGTTTGAAACGAAATGCCAAAAAAATTTTTTATTTTCTGCCACGAAAACAAAGGCGGCAGAATTGCAAGCTGAAAAGGTTGAAAAATACAGGTAATTATAAGAAAGCATGTAGAATGTCAGTGACATCTTTCCCTATCGTCACTGATACAGTAGACCACGAAAGTTTTTCGAAATTTTGTTCCCAGAGCCCTAAACAGTCCGCTTCAAAAGTAACCGTTACGGTGGGCCTTCCGGAAAGTCGCTGGGACGATTTCAGCGACATGCACTGAGCAAAACAAAATTTTACTTTGCGCTGCGCAATTTCTTGTTGTTGCAACGTGCAATAGGCTTTTTTCGGCTGTCGCCTGTACCCTGACTTTCGCACAGTGCAAACGGCGAAAATCAGTCCAGCGACTTTCCGGAAGAGGTTGTAATGGCTCTTTAACAAATATAATAGCTTAAATTCGCCTTTGCCGATCGCTAACTCAGAATTATGAGGAGAAGTACCAATAGTCTGCGAAAATAACTTTTCCGTCTACGAGATGACAAAGTTGTCCTTATTCCACAAGCTACAGTAACACCAACTACCGTTCGCTCTCCCATCTGCTCTTTCTTTGTGTCCGCAAAGCTGCAACCAATTTTGCGGAGGCGGAGCCACAATAATCTACGCCGCTAATGCGCCTATCATTGCGAACAGTCGTTTTTATGGCGTAAAAAAGTTCGATGCCGCTTCCCATTCTTTGTTTTACGCAACCTTGCTGTTTTTTGCGCGTTGCGTCCATTGTTAGCGAGTGGACTTCCTGCGCTTCGGGTGAAGGCTGGGTTATTTTAATCCCAGTTTCATTCCGATTATGTCAGGGTTTTGGGAAAGGTGGCTTCGCTCTGGGCTATGTGCCATGCATTGTTTTGGGTTGGGTAACTGGATGAGTATGTGGAATTCTGCGGAGAGGTAGCTTGAGGCGTTACAAAGGGATTTCATTTGTGTTTTTTGTGTTTTCTATCAAGAAAGTTAATCTATGAATTAAAAATGGAATTTGCGTTTCTTCGTTTTATAACGCTTAAAAATGTGTAGATAAAATGAAACACAGATAAAATACGAGTTCAGGATAAAACATGCATTATTTTTCATGCGCATTTGACTTTACTGTATTACTCGCTTCATTTAGCCGGTACGTGTCAAATGCGCCAGCAAGTGCAATATGAAATTTTGCGGTGCTCTCTGCACAACACACTCTAGTAGGCCACATATAGAACAATTTAAAGACCAAAGGGTCAATTTACACTATCCTCAAATCAAATTTCGCGCAAATGGAATCTTCATACAGTGTGTTCCAGGTTTTTGGTTCCACCCCATTTTTTGAACATATCTCGGGGAATTTTTTTCCGAACGTTATGAAATTTTACACAAGTGTTGATTTAAAAGTAATCCGTGCAAAGATTCATAGAACAAAAAACGTGGGTCACACAGTATGACAAATAGGCGGCTATTGGCGCCCATTGTTTCGTTGTACAGCGGTCTGGCTATATAAAAAAAGAAGACTTGTTTGCTACTCCGTTGGCAACATGACTGGTGTGAGTTCGGCGATATGCACAGTAAGAAAATGAAAGTTAACTTTTCCTTTACCGTGCAATAAACTTTTTTCGGCTCGTTTCACCCTGATTTTTTGGCACAGTGAAAACGCAAAACATCAGTTCAGAGACAGGACCAGTAAACACCCATAAGCCACTTTTCTGTTTTGCAAGTGTTGGTCAAGTCCAACTCAACGTTTCTCTGTTGAAAATTTTCCAAACTTGTCCTTTTCGTCGTTTCCTCGTTTAGCTTCACTAATTCCCGTTGAAAAACAACCATTTTTCAGACACAACAACTCCCCGAAAAATGTGGTCATCGCTAGATTGCAACAACAACCCCGGCAACTACACTCCTGGCATGAACTGGAGCGGCTTCAATTACATGAACAAAGAAGAGGTTTGGGAAACTTTTTGAACGCATTTATTCCAAAAATATCATGGGTTTTGTTTTCAGTGGAACTCCAAACAGCTCCTCGACACCATGAGTGCAAATGCCATTTCGTTGTTCGTGAACACGTCGCCAAACTCGTCAACTGCGAGTGAATTTTCGCCGCCAATCCGCAAAAAGAAGAAGCCTTGTCCTGTTCCGGCAGAGAAGAAGGATGATGTAAGTTGGAGGGGTTAGAGCAATTCATAGAAGCGATGTTTTCTTTTCATATCTTGTAGCATGGCTGGCCGATAGATAAAGGAAAGAACGCTTACAGAGTTTCGGAAAAAAGCACTTTCGTGAACTGATATAATGCCAAAAATTAAAGGAAGCGTCCGCAAAAATCAGAGAAAAACTGAGCGCCGGACTTTGGGTACCTCTTCTGTGACCTATTCGCCGTCCCCTAGCGAGCAAAGGATTAAGAAAATTGAGGATAAAGTTAAGAGAAAACCGCATTTTCTTGCTATCTCGCTGTAAATTATGCCTTCTAAAACAAGATTTCCTTCTGAAAAACGCGATCTAAAAATCTTCCAGTACCCAAACAAACATATATAGGCCTCCAAAATAAGCTTCGGTTCAAGCTCTTACCCCTCACTTTCAGGCCTATGTCCAACGTCGCCAAAAGAACAACCTCTCAGCTCAAAAGTCAAGGGAAGAGCGACGAAGGCGGGAGCAAGAAAAGGATACCCGGATTAAAGTAAGCATTTCTCCACAAATTTTTCTCTTATAATAAGGCACTTATACAAACTCACCCTTTTCAGGAACTCGAGACCCAATGTGCCTATCTTTGTCATCAGAACACACTGCTTCAGGCAGAATTGGCAAAGATGCGAATGGTCCAGCAATATAATTCCATGCAGTCCACAAACTCCACAATGAACAGTAGTATGAACTCGACAGGGGCGTCTGTGGCGCCTTTCGTGGATCCGTCTTGGTCTTGAAGTTGTAAATGGTTTTCTAGGAGTCTTGAAGCCGGGGATCGTTTCTTGAAAACACTCCAATTCATGACTCCTGCAGTAAATTGCATAATTCACCGTCTAGTTTTTGTCAATTCGATTTTTTCAAGCCACTTATTTTTTACTATCAGTCTGGCGGGAAAATAATGAACACAATCGCCGATTGCGTTTCTGGGATGGAAAGCAATTTAATTTTACCGCAACAAAATTCATTTTCTCGCCGATAGAGTGCTCATTATTTTCCCGACAGTCTGATATCTTTGTCCTTCCCATTATTGCATAATTTCTCAACTTGGTCTCAAACATATGGGTAACACTCCCTACCTCTTCCTGAATCGTTGTACCTCTTCCATTGCTCAGATATATAACCATTGCCATTGACTTTTCATAACATATTACCTCATGGAAATCGCTGGAATAAACGTTTTTCGCCGAATTACACTACTTGAAATTTACCATGATTTACCGCAAGGTAATCCTTTAGAAGCCATGTGAATCGTGTTCACAACACACTGAATTTCTGAGCCATTGTCAGTCTGTCGGGAAAATAATGAAACATGTCGCTGCGCCGGTCGCGTCGTTATAAAGAAAGCAATTTGATTTTGTTGCGACGCAATTGATTTTCTCAGCGACGATGCGATTTTCGATGCAACAGAGTGCTCATTATTTTCCCGACACACTGATATTGTTAAGAATCGAATAAAATACGTCATCGAATTTCATAATGATATTATTTCTTAGGAAGCAAACGTAAAACCCATCTGACTCATACAATATAAATACTGCGCTTTTTTCCCCATGGTCCAGCCTTACTCTTCTCTGGGTGATCTCGGTTTGTAGCTTAGCATCTTCTTCTTTACTTCGGAGGTAAATTTAAAAGCTTCCCTGTTACTTTCATTCTCAGTATCATCAGTTACACTAGCTGAACAACTCTGATTTGATTCCTGATTTGTAATTACAACAGACTCTTTCGAATGGCATATGATCAGCCAATTGTTACAGGGTAAGTTTTAAACATGGTGGACAGTCTTTCTTGGACATAATTTTGTTTTTTCGCCTTGAGGGGGAAGACGCTTGAGATTCGGTCGCCGTCAAAATGCAGTGTGCATTTTGAAGGCGCTAAACGACTTTTTCAACCTAGTTTACACCAAGGCTTGAGCAAAATTAAAAAAGCCCCGGACCGGCCTGATCACTTCGGCCCGCGAGCCGTTAAACGCGAAAAATCTTCTTTATTCCATTGAGGGGTATTCTGCAAAACGCAAATAAAGAATTTGAATTTACAAGTGATATACTCGCGCGGCGCTCAGATTTTCCTTGCATTTTTTACACACTGCGGGCAGGTCCACATATGTGCCTCTGGCGGAAAGCACCGATTTTTTTGAAAGCAGTACCTCGCGTGGAAACATGTTTCAAAAACGTCTTGGTGGTTTCTGCAATGGGTACGGCAAAGAACCTCTCATAGCGCTTGCCGATTCAGACAAGACCTGATACGATGTGACCTGCTAAAATGCGATTTACTTTTAGCTCCCCTCCTCCACCTCCACCGACTTCAACGTCCCAGGAAAATCGATATGAACGTGATCCGTACGACCTAAATTGCCCATGGGGGTTTATTCTATGCAATTGTTTTAGAGAATTCTTTTGTCATTAAAATACCGTTGTTAATTTAACTCATTGTACAAATCAAGTACAAACTTCTTTGCTATTTTACGTTGAAATAAACCAATTTAAAACTCTTAACCGCCTAACCTTTCACTTCAAACAAAAAGAGAGAAACCCAAATAGTTTTTTTTCAAACGTATGACTCACCTCTTCAACATTTGTTATTTCCCCCAAATTATTTCCGTCCCGTTGAAATAACGCTGTAAACAGGAGAAAAGGTGGTTTCAAAATGGGGAAATAAGGAGAATTCATGCAGTAAAAGCAAGTCCATCACCTGATTGGGGTTCTTTTCGGGAAGCCTATTGATTATCAGCCTGTCGGAAAAATAATGTATATTTGTGGCGCTGTGGCATCGTCTATCACCGCTTTGCAATGACTAGCCGCAGCTGGAGACTTGGTGCGGAACTGTGAGGAGGCGATGCATAAAACCACATTATTTTTCCGACAGACTGAAATTAAACTCTTCTTAAATTTTACATCTTTTTATCAGACAAAGCTAACTTACCAAATCGCATTCCTCGTTGTCAGATCTTTGTACTTTATAAATTGGTTTGTCGGGAAAATAATGAGCACGCTGTCGCACTGCGTCACCACCGAGGGAATGAATTGCGTCAGAGTGAAAATCAGTCAAATTAATTTTCACATTGGCGACGAAATTAGCGAAGAGACATTGTGCTCACTATTTTCCCGACAGACTCATATTATTTATGGCGATGCGAATTGCTATTCACTTGCTTTTTTTCTTCTAGTTTTACGCCAAATTTCACCGACCGCTTTTAAAGGGATTCCCTCTGTGAACGTCGTTTGCCACAACGGTATGTCGGGAAAATAATGGGCCCTCTGCGGCATCGAAAGTCGCATCGCCGCCGGGGAAACGGATCGCGTCAAAATCAAACTGCTTTTCACTTCGGAAACACGATAGAGAGGGCCATTATTTTCCCGACAGCCCGATAGTTGGTACATTGACCGTGTATGTTCATGCGTTCACCTCACAAAGTTCATTTTTACAAGTCATCACTTGTTTCAGAGAAGATTCGATTCAAAAAAATCAAGATGAACTCCTCGTACACCCAAGAGTCCTCGCACTATTACAAAGACGGTGTTTACCGCGACAGTCAAGGCCGTGTGACCTACCCACCTACCGTTTACTATAATGACAGACATTACAAGCCTGGGTAAGCACTTATTAAAGTATTTGGACCTTTTTAGCCATGGTCCGACGTATTATGTCCGAGAAGACGTCAGATACGACGAGCACGGTCGTCCGATCGTCTATCGACGTGGAGTCGACAACGGTGGCTGCAGATTCTGGCCAATCTGCTGCTGTTTTCCCTGCATTCCCTGCTGTTTTCCCGTGTGTACAGATTAAAAGTCTTTATTTCGAACTAAGTATTTTGCAAATGCTAGAGTCACATGCGATTAAAAATAAACTTGATTATTAATTGGCGATTCACCGATTCGACCGGTAGAGGGATTTACATAAGCTTGTAGAAGAACATCAAGGCAGCTGTGGACATGGTGATTAATGGCAGGCTGAAGGAGGTCTGAGAAACTCCATTGAGGCCGATCACTAAAATAAGGTTGCATTGGTTGGGTTCATAAAAAAATTTGCTCTGTTAGCTCAAAAGTCCCAAAAGCTAGAATTGCAAAACTAAAAATTTCCTTGAACTAAACGTTCCCCCTAAAAAAGCTTCCAGAAAATATCGCCAACGTTTTTAACGTGGATCTAAGGCACTCTACAGAGTTTGTCGTCTTCACATTGCGCCTTACGTCAGGCCTCCAGAAGACCTTAATTGGCAGCTTGCTCCTGTGAAGGCCTAGCTTGCAAAAAGTGAAACTATCAGTCCGTCCGCAAAAAGAAGCTTTTGAGATGCGCCTATTTGACCCTACTATGCCCCTGATTTCGACTAAGCAGAAATGCCGGATTTGCCAACTTTCCCCGGAGGACTATCCCTATTTCGACTTACAATTGAAGACCGTCTTGAAGGCGGGGGAAATGTTCTCAATCTGCTGTCGCTGTTCTGGAGTCAAGCTTCCGACCATCCGTGTGATCTTGGCGGTAGTGGAGACTTTGTTGTTTCCGTCATCAAGAATCAAGGGGACAATCTTAAAGTTTCAATATTGGCCCAAAATATATTCAAAAAATGTTTTTTTCTTTTGAAATGCGACTTACATTTCTCAAAGCGCTGCCCACAGTACTGTCAACCTTTCCGCTGCTGACCAAAAAGTTCAGCGCAAAGTCGACGAACCTTCGGAACAAGCCCTTGTCGGCCTGTGGAAGTTCGTCAATGTTCTCGTTCAAGACATTGTTGAAGGTCTGACGATCACGTCCAGTGAGTTGGTTGAGGAATTGCGGCGCTTTGTCCTTAACAATCGCTAAAAGAACAAAGAATGTGTTACTGTAAATTTATGCCTCGCTTACGCAATAACTCAGCCAATCCGACGCCAAAGGGGTTTGTTTCGGCCTGAACATTTTGTGCAACGAGAATGCTGCCAATCACGGCCAAAGAAAACCACATAAACCGCATGATTCTAAAAAAATTTCACAGTATTTTTTAATTAAAGTTTCTCGAAGATTGCGTTAAAGCGATTAGAACCCCTAATGGTTAGGTCAACTGTTCTTACCAAAGTAAAATCAGAATTTGATCGAAAAAACATCCGTCGCTGCTTTTATGGGTAAACAGAGACATAAACAAGACTAAACCTTAATTGATGAACGGCTGGATTCCGTTGCAGATGTAATAAAATAGTACAGATAGCAGAAATACGGCCCATACAACGAACTACTAGAGAAACGCTCAAACTAGAGAAAAGCTCAAACATCAGCGGCCCGATGTAACTTTTTTGGCTAGAAAACAGTTCCGGGTATTGCTATCACAAAACAAACGCAAGTCCTATCACAAAAACAAACGCAACTTCGAAAAATCAAGCCAAATATACAATTTATTTGTAATACTAAAATACTAGGCCGTCCGCGGAGTCGCTAGAGTGATTTTTGCGACATACACTGCACAAAAAGAAAAGTTTACCTTGCACTGTTGCACTGTGCAATTTCCGGTTTTTTTCACCGTGCAATAGGCTTTTAGGGCTGTCGCTGGCACCCTGACCATTCTTGTACAGCGCCGTCGAGATCACCCCAGCGACTTTTCAAACGAACCGTTATCTTCCACTGAGGCTTATGTGTGGGCTTCGCGGTTCCTAATACACATATAGTAGATCCTATGGTATGGACGGTATGGAGATGGAACCCAAAAAAAAGCATAAACTCAACAGTTGGGCGCTGCATAACGCAGTGAAGCTAAGGCTTACGCTAGGCTTAGGATTAACCCTGCAATAATCTTTCTTTTGGGCCTAGGGTTTCTGGCGTCCGCAAGATTTTTAGCCAACAGCCAGCTTGTTAGAGAATGCTAAAAATTGGAAACACTTGGCATTTTTTTGAAAGGATAAACTTCATGCCCATTCTTGACGTAGAGGATGATGTTTCCTCAAAAAAATTAGTGTCTTCACGCAAAACTGGCAAAGATATAGGTTTTCCCATGTTCTCTAGGCCACAAGCCGGCAAAGCGCAAGCTAAAATTTAAAATTTTCATGCACTTTCCCGTCGCACTTGAAAAGACTTCCCTTGACTACTAGCCGCACCAATAAAGCCTTAAATTTGAATCCATGCGCCTGCACAGTGCGAAAACAAGTCAAGATTTTTCGACTCGCCTAGCACCACTTCCCAAACAGTCATCCCACTCATTCTGGCCCAAAAACCTCCTCAACCCAAACATCACCCAACCTCGGCTTGTTTACCGAACGAACCACCCCTCCTGCCGAACAGGATCCGAGAGTTTTGATCGGCATTTCGAACGCAAGGACAGACACGTAAAAAACGGCCCCAAAAAACAAAAACAAACCCTATTTTTCGAAATGGATTTTGCTCCGCATAACATAAAAAAATACCGATAAACCCGAGAACCACATAAAAAGAAAAAGTGGCGGTAACCTTGAGATTTTAAAGCATTTTCACCCGTGTTTACTTCCAGGAACAGCATCGAGGGCATTCATGCGGGAAAATGGTATGAGTAATAAGCAAAGTTGTTTGTTGTATGTATAGAAATGAGTTAACGGTGATCAAAGGGGACAAAGAAGTCAAGGCGCTGATAGGGGTGGTATGACAAATAAATAATTATTTTTGATGACATAGAGTACTGCTATATTTTTGTCATATAATTGGCAGACTGTTTTAGCCGCTGTACAGCGCTTTTCGCTTTTTTCCTTTTTTCTCGCCATCGCCATACAGCGCAAATCCCAAAAAGCTGTGAGCATAGGCAAATGCACACGCAAAATCCCGGCGGCGCTATTCTAGAACCATTTTTTCCGCCTAGCGATTAAAAGTTTACCCATTTTAAAGAAAGATTATCAGTCTGTCGGGAAAATAATGGGCATAATGTTGTTGTGCCAACCGTGTCGCTGAAATGGAAATCCACTCGACTTTGATGCGACACAATTCATTTCTCGGCGACATGAGATTTTCGACACGGCAGAATGCTCATTATTTTCCCGACGGACTGGCGGTAAAACCGTCGGCAGTTTTGACAAAAGCGGCCGTAGATTACGTTGCTTTATAAACCTTATAAATTCCAAAAACTAAGTGCACTTTTAACTAACTGGCTGTCCAAAACACGGATCCATAGTTAGCCAATACACTCAGAATATCTTTCTCTAAATGAATTACACATACTAAATAAAGATGTGCCACTTGCACAAAACATCCGATCTTTAAACGCTAAGTAAGGGAAACCCGTCTGCGGAGTTCTTGACCATGCCAGAGAATGAAGTAGATGCAGAAAACCTCAGCATAAAAACCCAAGAAGTGCAAGGAATGATGTTCCCTGAGCAATACGTCATTCCGGAACACATGTGGCATATGAAGAGAAAAACATGTTCGGTTTCACAACTGCTGTGAAAGAGGAAGCTGTTTGTCACCTGTGATCATTCCCGTTTCTATAAATTCGATCCGACGGCTTGATATCAAAAATGAAATAAGACCGATCAAGACCGCTCTGGACCAAAATACATACCAACACAATAGTTTTGAGAATTGTCATCCCTCATAGAACCAGTGTTACCTTAATAACTGACTTTAACACCACACGCAAGATATTGCATTGAAAATACTGCCTGCTGATGTTAAAATGGATATACCCTTTGAAACATTAGACGTGAAGCCGATTAAAACCGATAAGACGTACAGGAGCCCTAGATCTTATACCGGGCAGCGCTATGGCACAGGCGGGAGTACCACTTTGGTGGTGGAATCGACGTAAAAACAGCTGCGCTCATGTTTTTCATACCCAATTTTTCAATAGTGGAATGTCTCGGCTGTAGCTGTGTACCATATTTAATCTTTGATTTTTGGCGAACATAATGACTTACAAATCTTCGCCTACGCCCGTGTTGTTCCTTGAGATAAACATAATTTTAAAATTTTGCGGTTAATTAAAAACTTACGGAAAAATTTCAAAATTGGGTGATCATAGCCACTCATTTCAGCGGAAAACACGAATGCTTAAATATGTGGTACCCAATAAAAGCCTTAAAAGTTTAATTGCAATGGTGCAGTCACACTTACCAAAGAACGGGATTGTTTTCCCACAAGTGGGTCGTATTAAAAAATGTCGACGATTTGTGGTTATTGTGGTATTCTCGTGGTATTTCTTTCTGATAATTTTCTTGTTACCTTGCTTTATTTGGCATTTGCCGGTTTGTCGGGAAGATAATGGCGGGAAGTCGCGCCTTGGAATCGCTCATCGTCACTCTGCGACGCACGTCAAACTGAGGTAAGCTAAAACAGTCCGGTGAATGGATTGGCAATTTCCCAAAAAAGACGCGAAAAAACGTTTTGTCGGGGAAGAAATGGGGAATTTTTGGGGCGAGAGAGTACGTTTTTGCGTGTCTTTTTTCTCTCTTTCTCAGGAAATCAAGACGAAATGTAAAAAACCGATAGCGAAGAGTCTATTCCGGTCACCGGACTCCTCAGTTTGACGTGAGACGGCAAGCCACAACTGGAGATTGGTGCGTGACTGCCCACTTCTTTCGACGTGACGAAACATTTTGCTGAGACAACACGCCACTATTTTCCGGACAGATTGCTAAACATGCCAAAATGGGGTAAGCCCATTTTGTACTGACACACTTTGCAAATCCACTTTTGTACTGAGATTTGACGCCACAGAAAGACTAGAAGTCGGGAACTTCTGTGCCTATCTTTTTATTTTTTTTTCTGTTTCTTCGGCCGATTTACTTGTATTATAAATTTGCGGATTTTATCATGTGAGCTCTCGAAGAACTCCCGTAGCAAGTCTTAATATCAAAAATCTTTCAGAGCATCACTTTTTATTTCATTACAGTGCTTCTCAGTATTCGGGCCACATGTTCTATTGCACCGTTTGAGCCGCTAATTATACGCTTTGAAAATCTTTAATTCTTGCTTTAAAAACATTTCATGACGTTCGAAACCGCATTTTCAAAATATTTTGCAGATCATAAATGTGGTCTTACTTATGTCACCAAAGGGAATGTAAAATTAAGTGCGTGTCTGTAATTAGAATCTAACAATAAAAAACACAATAGTATCACTACGGTGTGCTGGTCTCTCTGTAATTGCCCCCGATTCGAAACGGTCGAAATTAGAGCGTTTGAAAAATACGTATTCAAGTAAATGGCTGTTGGTGCAATGTAGATGCGAATTAGATATCGTAAAGGACAGACACTGTGTCAATAATCGAAAAAATGGTCTGAAAAATAATGTGATCTATGGCAAGATGTGTTTACATGTTCCAGTGTTATATAATATTGTTTTACTGTGCTTAGTCTGTTCCAATACAGTGAAAGGAAGCATGAAGCCTTGGGACTTTTTTTTTGTACAGTACAAGCTGTCTATATTCATTCCCGCAAGTTCGAATTCTGAGGTTGTTGTTGTTATTCAATTGTTCGTGGACCAGACAAGCGGTTTAATTTTTTCTTTCAATAACCGGGCCATGAACCGCGCCTTGTTTATATGTTTTTAATGCCCGGCTCAGCAATCCTCTATGCGCTTGGCAAGCCCGATCAGAATAGCCTTGCTTTAGCAGGATGTCTGAGTATTCAGGGATAAAAAAGAATTTTAAAATTTGGCCCAAAATTAAAGAATTTATAGCCAATTCAAATCGGGCCACAAAATTGGTACACCCTGTAGAACAGCCCCGATTTCCTGGCTGGCCAATGTCTGAACGGCCATTTTGCTTCCAAAAATTTACACGACTTGGGCGATAGTTATGCTAAATTTTCGCAAGACTTCAAGCAAAAAGCCGCCACCGTGTAGCGTATTTAATTTTACCTAAAAGTTCTTTGCCTTCTGCAAGTTGTTTAGGCTAGTCCACAAACGTAGCTTTTTGGGCTTACAGCATGATGTTGAAAATGTATGTACTTTAATATCTGGAGAGCAAAGCACCCATTGTTGTTCAAGCTTTTCTACTATATTTGACCACAATCTGTTTACTCGGAGAAGTGCTCAAAGTGCGACAACGTTTCACCGAAGCTTTGTACAAATTTAAAGCGACAGTTTCCACAGTACCCCACAAACTAACCGTTCTTCTATAAAAAACACCGTTTTTCCAAAATTATTCATGTATTTCGTTACGCGGACATAAACTTGTATGTTTAGCAGGGCTTGTGCATAATTATTATACCATCTCGTCTTTGGAATTTAAGGCCACGCCGAAGAGCGCTATAATTTCCAGCGGAGGAACACTCAATTTGTTCGGATGCACTTTGCCGTCAAGTCCAAAGCGTTGGACTAGCTTATCGCAGACATGTGTTACGAACTGTTGTATGGCTGCGTTTTGTTCATAACAGTGTTCAGCGTCTTCTTCAATGTCCCGCTGTATATCTTGGTGCTTAGGGCGATTGTGGTACATCGAACCCGTCGTCCGTTCAACTCGCCGTTTTTCACAATATTCGTTGCGTTGGGCGTTGTGGATTTGATGTAGGTTTGCAGCCATAAATTCATTTGCGGATACAAAATCTGTTTTTCTGATTATGCTTTAAGTCTGTCGGGAAAATAATGTCGCATCGAAAATCGCATCGCCGAAGAGGAAATGAAACATGCCGCGGGAAAATCCAATTGCTTTTCACTACAGCGACGCGATTGGCGCAGCGACAATGTGCCCATTATTTTCCCGACAGAAAATATAAAAATTTTTTTTGGACGGAGGGCTTTTAGGGTTAAGTATTTCTCTAACAAACTAGAGGCTTGAAGGTTGGGAAAGCTCGAAGACGCCCGTAAAAAAGCTTGAATCGGAGATATGTGGTTCTAGCAGTTATCATATTTCGTTCAATTATCATATTCAACTTGGCTCAAGCTTTAACTTTTTCCAAAAAAAATTCCAATTTTCAGCTGTTACGCTCTCTACCTTTTCGTCAAAAAACCGACATTCTTCAACCTGGTACCATCCATCTTCAGACCCTACAACACCCCAAACGTCTATGTTCGTGCCGTCTACGTTTGGTTCTACGTGTTTGGTAGGCGACTACGGTTAATCAAAAAACAATTGAAAAACTTTTGGTAATCAAATTTGTTTCAGCCTACTTCCAATACCAATTAGTTTTTTTGCTGAACCTGAACCGCTTTACATGCTTGGTTACACCAAAATTTTATCGAAAAGTAAGTGCGAGGGGAATTTTAAACGGGGTTTTTAGCGTTTACATAAAGTGCATGGACATTTTTTTCGCTTTGGCACAGTGCATTTTGAACATTTTCTCATGCTTGTCGCTGGGGCACGGTCAAAAAATCGTCGTTTGCACGTAGTTGAAAATTGTTTTTGTTGCAGCGATGTTTTGATGCACAGGTGAAAAAAATGGTTTTTTTTCTACGTTTGGACCGCTTCAAATGTCCATGCACTTTATGAAATTGCTACAAAGACACGTGAGGTGACAGTATCAGTCTGTCGGGAAAATAATGAGCATTCTGTCGCATAGAAAAAGAAAATCGCATCGTGGCTGAGAAAATCAATTGTGCCGCGGCAAAATCAAATTGCTTTTCACTTCAGAAACACTATAGGCAACGCGGCATTGTGCTTGTTATTTTCCGGACAGAATGATGGTATAAAGGATTGGCCTAAACTAAAGACCTAGCCGCAGCTTCGAGAACTTCTTTGAGTGTTTATTTCAGTTTTGCCAGCACAAAACAACCAAAACATGCATAGCTCTCTGCGCAATTTTATCATTCTTCCTGGCATTCCCGGGCTTCTCTGTGACCGCCATGATGAGTGAGTATACGGTGGAATTGGGTGGGGTCACAAGGACAATGCATTATGGGCCAGTGATGACCGGCCCAATCGCGCAATATTTAAGTATGATATGGAAGGTGCATGTGTATAGCTTGATGGTGATCGGAACCGTCTTGTACGGCTGGATGTTCCTTGTGACGCGGCAGGCGTCGATGAGCAGCATGAAGAGCTACAAGCAGAAACGACGGCCGGAAATGCGGCTGTTCTACATGGCACTGGGCCTTTTCACCGTCAACTCCGGGTTCGCGGTCTATTTTTGGCTGAGGTAGGTGTCAATTTGCAGTGTCTGCTAAGTGCAGGTTAGATCAATTGCGAGTTAATTAGGGATGTGTCGTTGGGGTAAATGGACCGTTAGAGGTGTCAGAATTCACGGTTAATAACAGAGATTTGAAAAAAGTCATCGTAAACATATGAATAGTTCCTGGTGAAGAAACATTGTCAACATTAAATTCTGCTTATAAGTACTCCAAGTGCGACGATCAGATTTTCTCAAAATTTTGCAAAAACTTCTGGCATATGGCACGCATAGATTTCTGAATGTTTGAGCTCTCACTGGACGACAGCCCATATATTCAAAGATCCTGCGGCCAGGCGGAGAGCGTTTAGAGAGAGGGATTTTGCATATTCCGATCGAATGACCGACAAAATGCTATAAAAGGAATGAAAATCTTCCAATAAATCAATGTGTGACTTATTCTGTCTGCGTCTTTTCCCAATGCGGTGGTTGTGCTTTTGGTCATTAAATATACACTTTTGGGTCAATAAGGTGTATTCTAATTGTCTACTTGTTGTACTGTACCATATGGCAATGGAGAGTTGACCACTGAACTTGTCGTCCTCAGTTCCTTTCAGCCACGGCCAATTTTTTCGTTTGTTATTGTTTGTATTGTCGTATTGGGCTTGGGATCTTAGATAGAACCTAGACTAGTGACACTCAATCTAAATGTTCTAGCCCAACGCGTGTTACTGAAAATTTTGTTAATTTCTGCAAAGTGCGAGCTAGGAGTGTCGTATATGTCACAGAAAACACGGAACTTTCTCAAAGATCTTTCTCAAATTGTGAAAATTTTTTGTCAAAATCTGAGCGCCGTACATAGAGTACCTGCCCTGTTAATTTAGGATTCTGTTAATTTAGGATTCTTGTCACACCGGTTCAAGTGAACTTTACATTTACTAAGACATTCCTGCGTTATTTTCTAATTTAGTATGAGAAGAACGGGAAACAGTGCGGTATTTCCTGAAAAGTTACGGTTTGACTGATTACATACACGGAATAGACATATTGTAAACATAACAATTATGACCGGTTAAACTGTTGGCTGGAAACAACTCTTCCCTGACGTTTTCGCATATACGTACAGGGTTGTGAAACCTTTGAACGCCATAATTTCAGTTCCTACAGTAGTCCCGACAACCACTGGCACGAGTGGATATTGTTGGTCATGTCGGATATCTACGACCTCCCCAACGGCATCATCCTATGGTTTACGTGCCGTGACATACGACGGGTAATTTGGCGTCCAAACAACTGCCGGAAGCAGTCCAGCAACATTACCACCGTCACCCCCGTGTCCGCGTTCAATAATTTCAGCTCCACGTCGTAGGAATGGCAACAAATTTGAAGGACAACATCAACAATCAACGGCACATTTTGTGACATATCATTTTAATATTAGAATTTTCATAAAGTGCATGGACATTTGTTGCGGTCTGTACCGTGGACAAAAAACACCGCTCTAGCATCGTGCATTCATTTCATATTTTTTTTGGTCCTTGCACTATGCATTTGAAGTACCGCTGCTACATAATTAAGTTATAACTACGTCAATGTAATGAATTTGCGCAGTACAGACGGCTATTTTTGTAGGTCCGCACTGTGCAAAAAATATGAAATATGCGTCAGCGACAACCATGGAAAAAAGGTTTAAAATACACTGTGTGATAGAAAAGAATGTCCATGCACTTTATGAAAATATGTATTATCAGTCTGTCGCGGAAATAATGAGCACAACGCGTCCAAAATCGCATCGCCACCGAGACAGTGCATTGTGTGGCAGTTCAGCGGCGCGATCGGCGCAAAGGATTCGGTCCGAACAGTGCACCTGACGAACTGTGCACCTGGCTGAACACCTAGGCGAACAGTACAATTTGAAAAAGTTTCTTTGTGTACAATCGAAAAAAAATTGAAGGTTTTCGCTTCGGGACAGGGAAAGAGGATTTTTTTGGGTTGTGAAAAAAGTGTGTGTTTCTGAGGCTTCAACCATGTTATCATTGGCAGATGCTGTCTCATTTACGCTTAAGAAGTTGAAAAATATCGGTTATTGCCCTTCATCGGCAAACATTTTTCTACAAGTTGATATGTTTTGCATTTCTGATGGTGTTTTTTTTGCCAGAAACCTCCAGTAAAAGAGAATTTCGTTTGCCGCCGTCACCCCCTTTATCTTTTCACATCCCAAAAAATTCCTTTTTCCCAGTCCCGAAGCGAAAGCCTTTCAAATTTCGTCAAAATTTTCTAGAGAATCGCCCAGGTGCACTGTTCAAAAATGCCAGGTGCACTGTTGGGGCACAACCATCGCAGAGACATTAAGGTCAATATTTTCCCGACAGCCTAATATGTAGTATAAGCATCCTTGTTGTTGTTTTTTTCAAAAACCCAGCCAACTGATGAATTAAGGCCCTGCGTTGGGCAAGCATATCACCGTGCGCCTCCAAGAATACCCCTTCTTTTCGGGTGGGAACGTAATTGTTAGGTACTGTTATTTATTTTCGCCGCTGTCGGTAGTGTCTTCTCTTACAGGTTATCGTTCTAACATCACTTTGTTTGAGGGATCGGCATTACTGAATCCCCTTTTTACACTTTTTTCCAAGATTTTGTATCATGACATTAAAATGATATTGTTGTGTAAACATGAACTTCTTCACATTGTACTGTCAGTTCGTTCTTTGAAAATAAATAATGAGAGAGAGTTAGCTCGCGCTGTGGGATATTGAGCGGTATTAATCGATTTTTTGGCGGTAACATTACCCTCTACGGTAGGTAGGTAAAGTTTTTTGGAAAACAAATTTTACTGTATTAACCTCTCGACTTTGGGCAATTACCATTCCATGGAAACGCCCAATTTCAACACTTGTAATTTTTAAAACGTTTTTTTGCCCCAGCATCGTAGTTTATAGTTTCACAAGAAAGGCGGGCTCTGATTATCCGCATGAACATTTCCGAAAGAAAGCAAAGTTCTGTTAATTTGCAACTGGGCGGGCGAATACAAAAAAATTCAGGATCTAGTACGATTACTTGGCCGTACAATTGAAACAGCCCGCCAAAAAATCTCTTTAGCCTGTCGGGAAAATAATGAAAATCACATCGCCGCCGAGGAAATGAATTGTGTCGTGTCAAAATCAAATTGATTTTAACTCCAGCGACGTGGCAAGCGCAGCGACATTGCGCTCATTATTTTCCCTACAGCGTTATAGCCAATGTGATCTACTTTCCCTCCAAGGATAACCCTAGAACCGTGACTTTCACGTAGGACTTCTTTCGTGGCCAAGAAGGAACCTTTTCGCAGAATTTTCATTTTTTTCAGAACCGAATCCCCTTGTTCTTGAAAACTGAATTAGGCCGCGGATTTACCTCTGTCTGCAAATTAAAATTTCATCTCTACAGCACTTCCGCGATGATATTTGAGCTCTTCGTCGCGGCGACAGTAGCGATAACGGTGTTCAGCGTCTTCTTCAGCGCCCCTCTCTACATTGCAGTGATGGTTATCATAATCAAATACCGGCGAAAACCGCCGTTCAACTCCTCCTTTTACTCGATTTTTATCGCTTCAGGAGTGGTCGATCTGGTGTAAGTCTTGATAAAAAATTGACGGCCCTCTTAGATGTTATTCGCTCTACGCTTTAATCAAGAAGCCAATCTTCTGGGGTATAATTTACCCTCCGTACGACGGATTCGACAAGCCCAATTTTGCCGCCAAGCTTTCGGCACTCGCTGTGTGGATCTTCGGTAGGGTTAGCTTTTCGTTAATCAGGCTTTAGCACTCCTGCAATACGAGTACACGTGCCTTCTCACGCTCAATCGCTTTGCCGGTATATGCCTTCCGGAATTCTACTTCAAAGTAAGATTTAACTTTTCCCTGACAATGCATCAATCTGTCGTATGATAGAACAACAATCGTAGATGGGGAAAGGGGCGTTTGGACAACCGCTCCCCCAGAGATAGGCGCAATTTTAGAATGAAGATTTATTGTCAGCACACACCGAGAGAGAAAATGGGATATTTTCAGATAATTAGGAACAAGACGTTCCTTTTATATGAGTTGGTTTATGCTAATTTCTCTGGGAATTGCAGAGACTTTTGAGACTCCGCAACTCAGCGACATTGTGGGACAATAGTGACCACAATGTCGCTGCGCCAATCGCTTCGCCGAACCCCTGCGTTTTAGATCAAACCCCCAGTTACCGTCCAAATTCTTTCTTGTGCTTCAGACAACGATGATCCGTTGGCTGGAGCTCCGGCAGCGACTCGGTCCGCACAGTGCACCTGGGTGAATTATGCACATGGCTGAACATTGCACCTGGGCGAATTGTGCACCTGACATTTTCTTTTTTTAACAGAGCACCTAGGTGAACAGTGCACGTTAAAAAAAGTTTCTTTGTGTACACCTGAACAAAATTTGAAATGATTTTGACAGGGAAAACAGAATTTTTTATGAATAGTTGACGAAAACAGAGAAAAGAAAATTTTTTGTTTGTGAAAAACCAAATATGACAAAGGAGATCAATGCAAAAATCCTCCAAAAAGGTTCTACTTTCCCAGTCCCGAAGCGAAAACATCTCAAATTTTGTTGAATCGTTTACAAAACATCTTTTTTTCAAGGTGCAATGTTCGCCCAGGTGCATAGTTGGCCCAGGTGCACTGCACGTTCAACTGAGGCGTCCGGTGACCGGAATAGACTCTTCGCTATCGGTTTTATACACTTCGTCTTGATTTCACAGCGAAGTCAGAGAAAAGACGCGCAAAAAACGTACCCTCTCGCCCGAAAAAAATCCCCATTTCTTCCGCGACTAAAAGTTTTTTCGCGTTTTTTGGCGAATTGCCAACCTATTCACCAGACCGTTTTAGCCTATCTCAGTTTGACGTGCACTGTTCAAAAATGTCCGGTGCACGGTTTGCCCAGGTGCACAATTCGCCCGGGTGTACTGTTAGATTCAGGTGCACTGTTCGGACTCAACACCGACAGCATCCTCAAAAAAACGCTTACTGATGACACACTCTTTTGGGGGTTTGTACTGGGTCATGGGGGTCTGAACTGGACGGGGGGGGGGGGTTCGTACTACCCTAGCCCCTGGGAGCTGTCCGACTAACAGAGCGTACGTTTTTTCCGTACGCTTTTGGTCAGAGAAGCGAAAAGATCTCGAATTAGCGAGAGAGTCCGAGAGAAACCGCTCTTGTTGATCCAAAACCTAGAGTAGGTCTCAAAGTTGGAGCTATAACTTTTGAGCCGGTGGTCGCAAGTTGATGAAACTTACAGGGCTTATGGAGTACACAATTAGCTTTCTATGAATATGAAAATTGTTATTAAACATTACAGTATACCCACAGGAGCCTTCATTTTACTTCAAAAAAGTAAGAAATCCGCTTGAAAACACAAAAAAATCCGCAGTTTTTAAAGTTGGGCTCATAGATCAGCTGAACCGTATGCTAGAATGCTCAAATTAAAGCTGGGTGTCCTATGAAGTACCACCTTTCATAATTTAAAAAGAGGGTATAACATTTCGACACGTAGCGGATACTGTAACCTCGGAAATCTTTTTATGCACGCATTTTCTACCGTATCTCTCTCTCTCTTCTTCCTTCGCTTTTGTGGAAAAAGGTCGAGAAAAGGCGCCCCCAAAAAGATTTCCGGGCTTACAGTATCCGGTACACGTCAAAATATTATGCCGTCTTTTCAAAATATCAAAGGCGCTACTGCATAGAACACGTTGCGTTAATTTCAGAATTCTAGCTCAATTTTCGGCTGACTTATAAGCCCAACTTTAAGAAATTTTGGATTTTTTGTGTTTTTTCAGGAAAATCAAGGCGGATTTGGCTATACTGTAACATTAAATAACAATTTTTATATTTCTGCAAAGCTAAATGGCCACTCTATAAGTTGCTTAAATTTCATCAATTTGAAGGCAACGGCTACAAAGTTACAAGCCCAATTATGAAGCCATGTCGCGGATGACCGAGCTACCGTTTTCACCAAAAAAGTCGAGAAGAAAAGCGCGGAAAATGATCGGAAATGAGGTGCACAATAAAGTTTTTGGGTTTACTGTGCCTGTTATTGGCCAAATTTCTTTGCCCTCTTTCCAAAATAATGACGACAATTGTGTCAAGACTTGCCGTATTTAATTTTAGCCTTCTAGCTAAACGTCTAGCCGACTTATGAGCCCAACTTTGAAACAATACGGATTTTTTGTGTTTTTGGAGTAAAATCTAGGCGGATTTGGGTATACTGTAACATTTAATGACGATTTTTATATTCACAAAAAACTAGTTGTGTGCTCTATATGCTCTGTAAGTTTCATCGACTTAGGACCACCGGCTCGAAAGTTATGGCTCCAACTTTGAGAGCTACTCTAGGTTTTGAATCAACAAGAGCGGTTTCTCTCGGACTCTCTCGCTAATGCGAGATCTTTTCGCTTCTCTGACCAAAAGCGTACGTAAAAAACGTACGCTCTGTTAGTCGGACAGATCCCTGAAGATTTATTGTCACCACACACCGAGAGAGAAAATGCGATATTTTCAAATAATTAGTGACAAGGCGTTCCTTTTATATGAGTTGGTTTATGCTAATTTCTCTGGGAATTGTGGAGACTTTTGAGGTTTCACAACAAGTCGGGAAAATAACGGCAGATTTTGTCGCGACACAATTCATCCTCTCGGCGACGATACGACTTCCGATACGACATTGTGCTTATGATATTTCCGACAGACTAATAATTTATAACGTAAATATATTCCGTTTCAGTACTGGACCCCCACAAATAATCGATTTCTGATTGGAGTTCCAATCGTCCTTGTGTTGACGCTCCTTTACCCATGCATTCACGCCGACTTTGCTGTAACAGAATACGAGATTTTCTTCGAAGGGACGTTCCGAACATTACACGGGGGTCCGACAACCATAACTTCTTCGGTTAGTCAATATTTCTTCCGTATTTGGGCCATGCATGTCTACACGTTAATGTTCGGAGGAGTGTTGTTATATACTATGATGTACGTCAAAGCAAGGGAGTGGTACAAAGCGGGTCCGCAAGCGACGAAACACCGGCTGGAGCTGAGGATGCTGAAGCAAGGAGCAATGTTGTTCGTTTTGAACGTCTGTTTCTGTGCCGTCTTCTTCATCAGGTACGTAACAACTTTGTAAGCGGAAAATACGATTCAGGGGCTACCTATCCGAAGCAAACACACATTTGTACGAGTATGTACTGTTCATTTTGGCCGACATCTACGACTTGTCAAGCGGTATAATTCTGTTTCTAACTTCCACCGATATCAGACGACGGATGCGAAGGATCCGAACAGCAGGGATCTCGTTTGCTGTCCCTTTAAAGACACGGAGTAGCGCATTGGGAGCTGATTTAACATCTGGCCACTCTTCATGAACGTTTTGCCTTTGACAGTTGAAATTTAAAGTCAGAAAATAAACTATGTGTACAAATAAATAATGGACAAAAATAGTTGAAGCTCGGTTGTTTTTGTTTCAGCTCGCTATGCAATAGCGGTCAATACTATGAGTCTGTAAGGAAACTAGTGAGCACTCAGTCGCGTCAAACATCCTCGCTGCCGAGACAATGAATTGTGTCGCAGCAAAATCAAATTCCTCTACACTTCAGCAACGCGATTGGAGCAGCGGCAGGCTCAAACTATATGGTTGATGCAAAAGGAATTGCGGATTTTTTTATTTATTCGTATTTTTTTATAGGATAGCTCAATTCAAAAATGGAAAAAGGTATATAGTAGTAAATTTTAAGAGGATTTTTCTGTATATGTGCTATTCTTATAAAAGTTATCAAACGTTACCATAAGTTACCACGAAAGTACCCTAAACATGTTAGTATATTTTAAACCAATTTTTTTACATATTGCTTTGCGGCTTTATCCATTTTTGAAAATATTTTGATAAAATACGTTATATTCTATCAAAAAACAAAAAAACCCCATTTTTGGCAAAGCGTTAAAACGCTATCCCAAAAATTCAAATTTCAGCAAATTTTACAAATCGTGTCATATCTTTTTTTAAATAAGTCCAAAATAAAAAATTCTTTTTGCTTTCGATTAGTAACAACATTTTTAAGATTTTTGTGACAAAAAACATCAAAATCAAAAAATTTATTTTTTTGACATTTTTTGACCAAAAAATAAAATTCAAGATTTTGATGTCTTTTTTTCACGAAAGCCTTAAAAATTTTGTTACTAATCGAAAGCAAAAAGAATTTTTTATTTTGGACTTATTAAAAAAAGATATGACACGATTTGTAAAATTTGCTGAAATTTGAATTTTTGGGATAGCGTTTTAACGCTTTGCCAAAAATGGGGGTTTTTTGTTTTTTGATAGAATATAACGTATTTTATCAAAATATTTTCAAAAATGGATAAAGCCGCAAAGCAATATGTAAGAAAATTGGTTTAAAATATACTAACACGTTTAGGGTACTTTCGTGGTAACTTATGGTAACGTTTGATAACTTTTATAAGAATAGCACATATACAGAAAAAATTCTCTTAAAATTTACTACTATATACCTTTTTCCATTTTTGAATTGAGCTATCCTATAAAAAAATACGAATAAATTAAAAAATCCGCAATTCCTTTTGCATCAACCTAATACTTCCCTTACAGGCTGATGGTATTGACATATCATCCTTTTAGTATTATATTTTTATTAAGTGCATGAGCATTTGTCGCGGTCCGCACGTGCGCCATTTTTCCAACTGCGTTGCTGCGTCGGTGATTAAATTTGCATAATGCAGACGGTTTTTTTGGTTTTGTGCAAAAATATAAAATCCACTGTACGTCAGCGACAAGCGTGGAAAACAGTTCAAAATACACTGTGCGATAGCAAAGAAAATGTCCGTGCACTTTATGAAAATATGCACTATCAGTCCGCCGGGGAAATAATGAACACAATACTATATCGCACCCAAAATCGCATCGCCGCTAAAAGTATAAATTGTATCGCGACAAGATCGAATTGCTTCTCACTTCAGCGACGCGATCGGCGCAGCCACATTCAGGTCAATATTTTCCCGACAGACTGATCATGTATATGTACATTTAAGCATCCTTGTCGTTTTTCTTTTAAAAATCCAGCCAACTGATTAATTAAGGCCCTGTGTTGGGCGACGCATATCACCACGCGCCTCCAAAAATAACCCTTCTGTTCGGAACTTAATTGTTAGGTACTGTTATTTATTTCCCGCGGTCGGTAGTGTCTTCTTTTAGAGATTATAGTTTTAACATCACTTTATTTAAAGGGTCGACATTACTGAATTGTCTTTGTGACACTTGTTTTTTCCGAGGTTTTGTATCATGACACTCAAGTGGTATTTTTGTGTAGACAGGAACGTCTTCACATCGTACCGTCAGTTCTTTTCTTTGAAAATAAATAATGACAGAGAGAGGGAGCAGTAGAACATGGTGTTTACTAGATAGCAAGGTACTATTTTGCTGTTTTATTTGTTTTGGTTTCGATGTTTATGTAGGGTAGCACATGTTTAAGTTTTGCAAGGGTAGTATCCCAAGTGCGACGCACGGACTTTTTGAAAGAGCTTGCACACACGTCGGGCATAAGAGAATATCGATTCCTGGAAGTTTTGGTTCGCGATTTGCTCGCCGGGATATTGAGCGGTCTTTGTCGCCAAAAGATACGCAAAAGGCTGAGAGCGCAGAGGGACTTTGGATCATACCTTTGCGGAAAAAAATCGATCTTTTGCGTAATCATTGCCCTATACGGTAGATAGATGGGAAACTTTTGGAGAATAAATTGTATTGAGCTCTCGAGTTTGGATAATTGTCATTCCGTGGAAACGGCCAATCAGTCGTGTTCGGGTTGTTAGAAACTTGTAATTTTCAAAACGCCTTTTGCCCCAGCATCGTAGTTTATAATTTCAAAATAAGGGCGGGCTCTGATTATCTGCATAAACATTTCCGAAAGGAAGCAAAATCTTTGCCTATTTGCAAAGATATATGTATAAAATATGTCCGCAAAGTGTCTGACACCCGCGATGTATCTTTTTCGATACAGATGATTTCACACTGCGCGCGCTCGGTGTGCACCGTCAGTTCTGCTTGTGGGCGTGCAACATTTTTTCGCACGACGGCGCGCCGTATAAAAATCTCATGACTTTTTTGATCCGCCTCTGTGCGATTACTTGGCCCTGCGATTGAAAGACCGCGTCAGAAATCTCTTTATCAGCCTGTCGGGTAAATAATGAGCACTTTGTCGCATCGAAAGTCGCATCGCCGCCGAGAAAATGAATTGTGCCGTAGAGCAATTACATTGATTTTAACTTCAGCGACGCGAAATTCCGCTCATTATTTTCCTTTCAGACTTATAGCTAGTGTTACCTACAGTAACTTGTGCCAGACCTCACTGAAACCTCAGTTTTACCTCAAAAGATTACCTTCTTAATATTAAGAACCGTGACTTTATACACAAGTATGTAGAATATCTTTCGTGGCCGAAGAAGAACCCTTTTCGCAGAATTTTAAAAATTTCCGGAACCAAATCTGCTTGTCTTGGTTCTTGGCGACTGGGTCGGGTCGCGACTTTACTTATACTTTTCAATTGAAATCTAATCTCTACAGCACCATCGCGATGATATTTGAACTCTTCGTCGCGGCGACAGTAGCGATAACGGTGTTCAGCGTCCTCTTCAGCGCCCCTCTGTACATTGCGGTGATGGTAATTATAATCAAATACCGGCGAAAACCGCCATTCAACTCCTCCTTTTACTCGATTTTTCTCGCTTCAGGAGTGGTCGATCTCATGTAAGTCTCGTAAAAAATCGATAGCGTTCTTAGATGTTATTTGCTCTACGCCTTAATCAAGAAACCAATCTTCTGGGGCATAATTTACCCTCCGTACGACGGATTCGACAAGCCCAACCTTGCTGCCAAACTTTCGTTACTCACAATATGGCTCTTCGGTAGGGTTAGCTTTTCGTTAATCAGGCTTTAGCACTCCTGCAATACGAGTACATGTGCCTTCTCACGCTCAATCGCTTTGTCGGTATATGCCTTCCGGACTTCTACTTCAAAGTAAGATTTAACGTTTCCCTGTGGGGGCAATGTATATACGAATCTATCGTACGATGGAACAACAATCGTAGATGGGGAAAGGGGTGTTTGGACAACCGCTCCTCCAGAGACAGGCAGAATTTTAGAATGAAGATTTATTGTCAGCACACACCGAGAGAGAAAATGAGATATTTTCGGATAATTGGTGACAAGACGTTCCTTTTATATGAGTTGGTTTATGCTAATTTCTCTAGGAATTGTGGAGACCTTTGAGGCACAATTTTCGAACGAAGATTTAATGTCAGCATACACCGGGTTTTCGAGCTCCAGTATCCCTTCATGGTGTTGGTGTTCACATTCAGGCCGTCGTGGTCAATACTATTAAAAATGCATCATTTTTAGCACATCAAACCCCCAACGTTGTACATCCAAACCCCTACGTTTTAGATCAAACCCCGAGTTACGGTCCAAATTCTTTCTTGTGCTTCAGGCAACGATTATCCGTTGTCTGGAGCCTCGGCAGCGATTCGGTCCGAACGGTGCATCTGACGAATAGTGCACCTAACGAACAGGCATAATTTTAGAATGAAGATTTATTGTCAGCACACACCGAGAGAGAAAATGAGATATTTTCGGATAATTGGTGACAAGACGTTCCTTTTTACATGAGTTGGTTTATGCTAATTTCTCTGGGAATTGTGGAGACTTTTGAGGCTCCACAACATGTCGGGGCAATAGGAGCGCAACGTCGCTGCGCCAATCGCGTCGCCGAAGTAAAACGCAATTTGATTTTGTCGTGAAACAATTCGTTCTCTCGGCGGCGATGCGAGTTTCGATGCGACGTTGTTCAGATGATACTCCCGACAGACAGATAATATGTAACATAAATGTATTCCGTTTCAGTACTGGACCCCCACAAATAATCGATTTCTGATTGGAGTTCCAATCGTCCTTGTGTTGGCGCTTCTTTATCCATGCGTTCACGCCGACTATGCAGTATCAGAATACGAGATTTTCTTCGAAGGGACGTTTCGGAAACTACACGGGGGTCCGACAACCATAACTTCTTCGGTTGGTCAATATTTCTTCCGCATTTGGGCAATACATGTCTACGCGTTAATGTTCGGAGGAGTGTTGTTATATACCATCATGTATGTCAAAGCAAGGGTGTTGTATAAAGCGGGTTCACAAGCGACAAAAAACAGGCTGGAGCTGAAGATGCTGAAGCAAGGAGCAATGTTGTTCGTCTTGAACGTCTGTTTCTGTGCCGTCTTCTTCGTCAGGTATGTAACAACTTTGTAAGCGGAAAATACGATTCAGGGGCTACCTGTCCGAAGCAAACTCACACTTGTACGAGTATATACTGTTCGTGGTGTCCGACATCTACGACTTGTCAAGCGGTCTAATCCTGTTTCTAACATCCACCGAGATCAGACGAAAGTTGCGAAACATCCGAACACCAGGGAACTCGTTTGCTATCCCTGTAAAGACAAGGAGTAGCGCATTGGGAGCTGACTTCACATCTGGCCAATTTTCATGAATGTTTTGCCTTCGACAGTTGAAATTTTAAAGTCAAAAAATAAACTTGTATACAAAATGGAATAATGGACAAAGATAGTGGAAGTTTGCCCGTTTTTGTTTCAGCTCGCTTTGCAATAGCGGGCATTATTATGAGTCTGTAGGGAAAATAAGTCAAATTGCTTTTCACTTCAGCGACGCATGTCAAACTGAGGAAGCTAAAACAGTCCGGTGAATGGATTGGCAACTTGCCAAAAAAAGACGCGAAAAAACGTTTTGTCGGGGAAGAAATGGGGAATTTTTGGGGCGAGAGAGTGCGCTTTTGCGTGTCTTTTTTCTCTCTTTCTCTGCGAAATCAAGACGAAGTGTAAAAACCGATAGCAAAGGGTCTATTCCGGTCACCGGACTCCTCAGTTTGACGTGCGACGCGACTGGCGGAGCGACAGAGCGGACGTTATTTTCCCGGCAGCCGATGGTCTTGCATGCTCCTGCTAAGCGTGTGCTGAAACAAAAACAACCGAACTTTTTCTATTTTTGTCCACCTACGCCTGCAAGATTCAAATTGAACAAGACTACCGGTATTCAGAGTAGTCTACAGCTATCCTTGATGTTGTTATTGCAATACCACGCTTAATTCGACAAGGTTACTGGTTACGGGATTTTGAAGCTTTTGTTAAATCTGTTTTGTCGCAACGCCGAAATTGGGATATTGTAGTCGGAAATAAAGCTCGGAGTGTTAAATTTTTTGTCGCAGTTCTTGTGTAGGCTAAGGTGGGTGTATATTTTGTTTTATCTATATTTAGGTCTAAGTTGGCTATCTATACGATATTAATTGTTGCGACATCCGCGGCAACAGTCTTTAGTCTCTTTTCGACGTCCTGTTGTATGTGCATTGTTGTGATACATCTGATCATAAAGGTCAAAGACAAAGCGCCCATCAACACCGTTCTATGCAATATTCGGATCGAGTGTCTTAGGGTCTTTGGTAAGTTGACGTGAAGACGAGTATACAGGGTGAAAAAAGTATAGCATGTGAATCGAACGCACTTCATGAGCCATTTAGACGTTTCGTCAGTGCTCTGTCGGTCGATCAAATGGGTTTGGATATCAAACGTCTTTTGGAAGAATTTTTGGAGGTAAAAATTCAAGAGAATGTTAAAAAACTTATTTTCTGGCCTGAAAGCAAGGTTTCGTTCCGGCTAGCCAAAGAAAAAAAAACCAAAGATTTTTCTACGGAAGCTATCGCGACGAAACGCCACATTGATTAAATATTGCAGAGGATATAGGTTTAACCAAGCTGGATGAAAGTCCAAAGCAAAAAAAACCTCTCTCCCGCACGCACTGGGGGAGGGGTGCCCCACCCCCTCTTCCCACACCCCTAATCTTGATTATTTTCGTTTCCATTTTGTACTACGGTAGATGGTGTATGCACCTTAACTGAAGACTTGAAATCAGCAACTAACTTAGACCTCTATAGTTTGTATCCGCATTGGTTTTTTGTATGATAAAAAACCTTGAAGATTACTGGCCTTGAATCTAGATGACCTTTGACGCTTTTCAATCGTAGTAGTTCGCGGAACTCCCCCGTATGTGTGCGACATCTATTATTCATACCGTGTGTTGCACTTTGGGTCCAACATATCTTGCCGCCTAATTGTGGTCTTCAGAGATATGAGCTGAAAGTAAATATAACTTTTCAGTGGGGCTGTGTGGTATGAATCCAGTACATCCGTAATTAAGCCGCATTTCAGACGCTATGCCGCCGCCAAAAACGCACACCTGCTATTGATTGTTTTGACGTATACAACCTGCCCAATGGTGTTATTCTGTTGTTTACATCACGTGGAATCCAGAGAAAATACGACATCCGTGGGCGTCGTGGAGCACGGGTCGAGTTGGTTCGGGGTTCCAAGAGTTTAGCGTAGACATGGCTAGTGGGCCGGGCCGAACGAGTTTTAAAGGCCCCGGGGCCGGGCCGACCTCTTCCGGCCCCCGGGCCGGGCCGACCGGGGGCCCCCGCCAGGCCCCCAATCGGCCCCCAATGACTAAAAGCCAAAGCGAAAATTAGGGTTGCCAACAAAAATAGAAAGGCAGAGCCAAGAACCGATTGGGTTTTTTGTACTATAGGCAATGGTTGGTAATTTTTTTTTTTAAATTTATTGTCGATTGTTATAACAAAAAAATGGGGGCTAAGGTAGTACAACCCGCCAGTCCAGTTCAGCCCCCCTGGACCCAGCATAAACCCCCTCATCCAATCTGAAGCGGGGTTCTCTCAGCTACGGTCAGCGTTGCCTGAACTACAAGAACGAATTTGGACGGTAACTGGGGGTTTGAGCTAAAACGCCGGGGGTCGTTTTACCCTAATTTGCATTTTTTGTATTATTCTAAATTTTTCATTATGGGGGTGTAAAATGGACAAAACAGTGGGGGTTTGAACTACCTTTCCTGGGGGGCTGAACTACCAAAGCCCCAAAAAAATGTGTTATATCTCGTAATGAATGCATTGTTCATATTTACAGGTCGGCCCCCGGTCGGCCCCCGGCCCGGCCCGGCCCCCAGGGGGCCGGGCCGGGCCGGGCCGAGAAAATTTGAAGGGGGCCGGGGCCGGGCCGACCTCTTCCGGCCCCCGGGCCGGGCCGCGATTTTCGGCCCGGCCCGGCCCCCCAGCCATGTCTAGTTTAGCGAAGGTGCTGATCACGGAGGTGCTTGATGCGGGCAAGCAGAGTTGGCCGTTACTTAGCACTCCAAACTTTAAGAGAACAACTCAGAGTGATTTTTTGGCGTTTGCATTGTTCGGAAATAGTCGGGGTGCCAACGACAGCCGAAAAAACCATTTTCACGGTGCAAGGAGCAAGAAATTGCACGATTCAAATAAAGATTTTTTTCCCACAGTGCATGTCGTCGACTTCAGCTAGGAAAGTTTCTGGAAGGACTACCCAATATCGTTGCGCCAACCAATGGCGTCGTCGTTTACGTGACAAGCAGCCTCACTTTTTCGCGACACAATTCATTTTTTCTGGGGCGTTTCAATTTTTTGATGCGATAGATTGCTCAATATTTTCCCCACAGGCTGATATCAGACATTTTTACCTTCTCAAAGTTTAGGTGCAGTGCCGAGATTGTGCAATTCCATGCCAACATAATACGGCAACAGCGCCGCAACAAATCAGACTCCGTAGGCCACATTAAGCATCAATTTTGATCACAACGTACTTAGCGTGCCCTCGGTTTTATTACATATGTATAAAAAAGATGACATATGACTCCAAATATCGTATATATGTTTCCAGACAGGCCTTTGCTACGCAACTAAAAGTGTGACTGACATTGCTATATTTTTCTGCACGTATGTGTACATGGTTTAATAAACGTATACGGCATTTCGGAACAGGAATGGTTCCATATTTGAACCCAATTGCAAAGGCGTTCCTTTTTTGCAGTGGCACGACATGGTGGGGTCAAATGACGACTACCGTCATCTGAGCAGACGGTAATTTAATAATATGGATGGGCATCGCAGCATATGTCAGAATATTCAAGAGTTTAATCAAAAAAAAACCAAATGTTTTTATGGGAACTTTGGCAAGATGGGACCATTATAACTTCGTCAGGCTCGGCGAATCCCAAAAGTTTCAAACCGCTAGGGTAACCTTGAATTTGGCCCGGAAAAGGCTTACCAACGGAATGGCCGCAATAAAAGGCTCTCGCGTACATCAACTGTTGTTTGGTGTTCCGGGAGACCCGGAATTTTGATAAAATAGGTAAGTTGTAGTTCCGTGGGTCTACTGTACATGTTGAGACATTTGGCTAGTTCATTGCTTGTTGTAAGAATCTCTCAAGTGCAGGCCGAGTTTCTTCTTGGTACCCCCCAGACCGAAGTCGAAAAAAATGGTGAGGGGGGACCAAGGTAAATTTATTTTTACATGGCAATCCTGGGCTCACTGATTTTTTTATTTAGGCCCAATCACATCGGGCAACAAGCTAGCCCTCAAACGTCAGTCTTTCCGGCGCGTCTCGCTTCGAATTTTATTGATAATCATATATTTTTGGCAGATCTTTCCTACATAATTACCCGTTTGGGATACTAACATAATACACAACTTGTCTTACGCTGTGCGTCAATTCAAAAGTCAACTTTGTTGATGTTTTCAACCCTATACACAGCTTTCGTATACAATAACAGATTATGTAATCCAATAAATACGACAGGTCTGAGAAATCATTGGTTTGTGTAAATGCGATTAATGCAAGACGTAGACAACAATAAACCCGTTTCGAAAGATTTCCAAACGTTGCATACCGTGTGGAAATTACTTGTTTCCGGTCAAACTCATCCTCAATTTTATGTCTTTCAAGTTATGTCTTCTGAACGGGTGGATTAAATATGTTGAATAGGTTGGAAGAGGGGGTACTTGGCGAAGAGGGCACCTTGGCAAAGAAAACACCTTGGCGGATAAGACGTCTGAGCGAACAGAGCACCTTGGAAAAGAGGACACCTCGGCGAAGAGGAAACGTCGGCAAAGAAAGCACCATGGCGAATAGCACATCTGGTTGAAGAGGACAACGGGGAAAAATAGTGTGGTAAGGGGGGATCAAGGCGGATTTTTACGATCATAAATAAAAGGGCTGCATCAAGTTGCGTTTTTTCACAAAGAATTTTACCTCAAGAAATGGACAATGATGATATATCTCAACGTTTCTTCCAGGGCGTATGGCCTTGTTCAACAGCAGCCTTGATCCCTGTACCATGTAATTTTTCCCCAAGGTGTCTTCGTCTCACAGGTGCCCTCTTCGCCAAGTTGCTTTCTTCGCCGAGGTGTCCTCTTCGCCGAAGCGACCTTTTCGCTCAGGTGCCTTTATTGCCAAGGTGCCCTTTTCGCCGAAGTACCCTCCTCGAAACTTGCTAAATATATCATTGTACTGACAATCCCCGAAAAGCGCATCTATTTATACCACACAGACTTTCTTTTATCGCCGCCGTTCATTTCAACTCTCCGAGAGTGCCCATCCTCATGTATCCTGAAATCGAAGCCGTTCCGCGAACGCAACGTTTGTTTTCTTTATTTTGCATGATAGTGTGTCAATAATGAAACGATTAAAACAATTCTAAAACGCTTTCCTAAGTCAACATGAAAGAGACGAGTATCAGGGACTAAACGGGATTCCAATGTTCCAAATATGTATTCTCAACAAAACGCAGGGCAAAAAATATGTAATAAGTTAAAAAATCGTATACACAACAAGGTAAGGGCGAATAATTTACATGAGACACGTGCGGAATACTTTAGAGATCACTAAATCTTTGCTTCGGAATATACAGAGATTTTTGGTTTGAAAGAGTTCTCGGTGAGATGCGGACGCCTAGACGTGTACACTCGGCGCCCCTCTAGACGCCGTCCAGGTTCACGGAGTCGTCGGTTTCGGCGCAACAAAAGGTCTTCAGGAAGTCGAGCGTACACCGCTTCGCGCAACACTCCGTCACGATTCGCGATCGTCGCACTCGATTACTGTAGTAGGTGAAGGGGTCGTAGTTGCGCTCGAGTAGTTCGTCCAAGTAGAAGGGATTTACACCGCCTGAAATTTTGGGTGAGATAAGCGTCGAGACATTCGATTTTTTTACGTTTATGTTGTCCTATAAAATTTTCATGTAGCCTTTTCTCGAACCCACGAGCTTCCGTCTCAAGACCGCTTGACCTTTTCAGTTTCCTTGCTACATTTCCGATACTTGGCCGAGAAAACAAATACCATTCTTTTTTCATTACCCGCAGGCCCACGCCCTCCGTCTAGAGCCCGAAATGTACGAATTCCAAGAGGTTAAGGCAATTACAATTCATCATCCCGCATCCTATTTCGGGGGCGCGAGACTGCCACTCATTTCATTAACAATTACTAATTATTGCACATTAATAAATATTCGAAAGATACTATTGGTGGATGCGCTGAAAATTCGCGAGATGCGGAATAATTGCATTTTTTGTCACGCCACCAAACCGAGTTATAGGTCAAGCTTCGCGGTGCAAACACCATCCTCCCAGTTTGCGCTGTTTTCATAAACAATTAGGTGATAGTATGTTCGTCTCGATTTGGCAATAATTCGAAAACTCGCTCCAATAACAACCGAAAAAAGATTTTCAAGAAAACAACCCCACAACTCCCAGCAATAACAACGATTCTGGTGGGTTACGCGGAACTGCCGGGTAATCGGAACTCCATAGTTTTGCCTACACATGTCATGACACAGTAATTGAATGTAAACACTACGTACAAGCGCCAATTTGGCTTATAAACTTGTTTTTGGTCGCTAATTCAATGAGCTTACGTTTCGAGATGCCGCCGCAGATTTTGTGTTTGCAGATGAGCTCCAGCGCCGACGTGAGTTTGTTGCCGCATAACCTGACCGACGCGTCCGCGCTCTCGGGACACTGTGCGAGGAGGACTGTGGCCAATATCACTGCGAACACTTGCCTGCTCGAGATTTTCCTGAAAGCGAAGAAAATTAGACGTGAATTTGGGTTCGGGAGACCCCCATTTTAACAAGATGTTCCTAATGCTCAACCCTCGTCATAGCGAGGAATTCAGTGACAAATTCGGCAATTTAAAACTGCAGCTTCTACGATCAGAGATCGTTTTGCAGGCCAAGGCTGTAATGACAAGAATTGCGGGCGTTACTAAGTTTGTCATTTGTGTAATGACAAGTTTGCAAATCACACAGCTATTCATGTAGAAGCTGAAAGCACATTCCAGAAAAAGGAATTGGTTTCCTCACCTCTCGTAGGCCAAGTTTCGTCAGTAAGTGTAAAAAAACATTGTTAAATTTTGTACGTACGAACGGATACTTCTAGTTTATACATTTTAGTTGGGCTTTTTAATCACTACTCCGTTCGCAGAATTGCTGGGGAGATTTTAACGACTGTATTCCGCGGAAATAAAAGTTTGCTTTGCACTGTGCAATCGACTTTTTGGGCTGTCGCTCGCATACTGACTTTTTCTGTACAGTGCGGTCAAAAACCTCGTCCAGCGACCTTACGAACGGACAAGTATTGATAAATTTGTATTGATACAAGTATCGAATCGAAATTGTTGAAAAACGCCGGATAATTGTGCATCTACCCAATACAATCGCCAAATTTACCATGAAGGTTTTGCACTTCAAACTTTCTCGGAAACATTCGAAGATATTGTCTCTGACCTTTAAACTGGCCTAATTGTCTAATGAAGACAAATCCTTTCCCGGCCCGACTAAATTGTCTTCCCCAGACGGAGGTCTTTCCGATACGCGTGGGTCAGAGACCACGCCGGCTTAATTCGATTATGGACAATAAGCTTAAAGAGCGCTCCTTAAAAAACATCGAAATTAAGAGTGTCGTCCGAAAAGCCGACACCCAAAAATGCCAAAATCTGCGTGAAATGGGAGGTCGAAATTCTGCAGGGCGCAGATGGCGTCACGACTTCGAAAAATGTTGGATTATGCGAATCCCCCGGGGAGTGGCGTCGAACTCTTCGATTCAGTCAACATCGACGCTGTTTACCCGTCGATGGTTCACTTGGCACTTCCGCACAACCGTAAACATCACCCACCCGTGTCCTTTCAGCCCCACACCTTGCTAATCCCAATATTTTGCGACGCGCTCACAATAGTCTCCGCCGGTGACGCTACTGTACCCCGAACACACACTTTATCACCAACTTGAGACAAACGCACTATAAATAGCGACTAATTGCGGGACGTCAGAGCACATGCCCATGTTTCATAACTAGGTGGCGCCCAACTTTCCCAGACTCGGACCATTATCCCACCAAAACAATGCCCAAGGACACGTTATCAAAAAAAAGACTAATGAGGAACAAATGCGACCGAAAAGAGAGATTCTACTGGACCTATTAACTTATATGACCTTATTCCAAATTTTGACATCATACGAAACTCAGTTTTCACTGTAATTTTTAAAAATACTGAAGAATTGAAGATATAGTTGATGCGCAAACCGGTCACGTTGACCCTCCCTTCGAACCCAAAGATCTATAGACCAAAAGCACACCCGTCCGAAGTGTTTTGCACGTCTGCATCCGCAGTCAACAACCGGCCGAGAACGCCCAATTCGAGCAGTCGTGTAGCACTTTTGGGAGCAAAACGCACTCTTCCCCCCGTCAACAACAACAACAGTGCCCGAAAAAACAACAAAACATGAGGACTACGGATGCGCGACGAGCCCCAAATTTTCCCGGGAATGGACCGTACCTGATCTGCGATATCCTCTGCGGCATGCCGAAAAAGACTGGTAGTGAAAACATGGTCGGGGGTACACAACGAAGAAATGGATCAACAACAACAAGGTCAACAACAACTTGGCAACCGCGCAAAGGCCGAATAAATTAGCGTAGCGTAGCGGCGAGGCGGTGAAGGTAGTTGGAGCGCGCACAGGTTTTGTAAATCCGGATCACACCAAATGCGGCGCCGACTGTCCAAATATCTCGCGTTTTTGGGCCTCCCACCGAACTCGCGGCCTCCAAGGGAGGAAAGGGGGCGGGGCCAGCGGCCGTTTCGTGGGCCCGCGAAGCCGCCACGACAAGATGAACGGGTTCAGGGACGGCGAGAAATTGGGTTTGTCCTCGGATTGAACGGTTAAGTTGAGAAATGCATTATGCATTATCTAGTTCACGACTTCCTCCTCCTCTTTTTTGAGCTCACAGTTTGCGAAATTTTTTTTTCATTCATACGGCAATGACATACTCTATACACAAAATACTACGACAGATTCAAAACACAACATACAAGGATTTTGCCGGCGGCTGGTTACATATGCTTTGCTCTACGAATCCGCCATCAGCCATATAGCGATGGGACAGGAATAGCTCAACAATTCAACAATGATGCCATTCGCAGCTCAAATTACATCGACAACTTGCACCCGTTTTAGTTATTCTTGAGACACTAAGGGTATAAACATAAGATCATATGTGGTCTGTGTTGAAAAGGTTATAGGCTACTTTTCGTCCCGTAAGGTTACATTTCTGGAGCAGTCTGACCTATGGTGTGGAGTGGGAGACCATTAATGCTTAGTCACGTTGTTTTTTACCTGATTCCTAATAAAACGAAGGTTTCATCCGGTGACGTTGTGGTAGAGCATCTATCAGTCTGTCAGGAAAATAATGAGCGATCTGTCGCAGAGAAAATCACATCGCCGCTGAGAGAATGAATTGTGTAGTGGCAAAATCAAATTGCTTTACATTTGAGCTTGGCGCAGCGACATTGTGCCCATTATTGTCCCGACAGACGGATATTACTGTAGACATGATCGAATCAAATACTTTGTGTACAGTAGATGTGGCTTTTCGTGCCAAACACTTTACAGCAACCCCTCTGGCAACACCTCAAACCCAACCCACTCAAATTGCGTCAAAACTCACTGTACAGTCTACAGTTCCATGCATTACACATGCCGCAACATGCCATTTCCTTGTTATTACTTTTTCTGGAAACTTTTTTTTCAAAATCCCCCCAGGATCTTGTTTACTCAGGTCTGTTTTCGCACATTACATTCTTCTGCCAACATCTAAATACCAACCGCATGTACGGATTTCGCAATCCTGTTGTCGGTTTAGTATAAATATTCGACCTTCCCGGTGTTTGTAAATCCCATCGGCCGAGAATGTCATCAAAAGATTTTCTAAACAAAATTAAGGGGATAAACGACAGGCCGCAATGGCTCGGCTTACAGCGGCTTAATGAAACAAACACATATCAGCCCGCATGTACGTATGCGGTTTGTTGATGTTTACGGGGAAAATGGTTGGGAAATTAGGGGATATGTAATAATTGAAACTTTAATAGGATTAGAGTAAGTCTTGAGAACGTGTGATATTCGAAGAGGAGATGTGGTAAGATAGGCAAACAATGCCGGGGTTTTATGAATTTCATAAGGAATGAGAGAATGCTAGAAACGTCTGGCGACGTCTGTTCAGTCTGTCGGGAAAATAATGAGCACTCTGTCGCATCGGAAACTGCCATCGCCTCCGAGAAAATGAATTGTGTTGAAAAATCAAATTGCTTTTCACTTCAGCAATATTATTGAAGTTTGACATTGTGCTCATTATTTTCCCGGCAGACAAAAAAAATCGCTGTGAATCGTTCTTTGATCCACATACATCCTGGTTCTTTCAAATTGTCCGGTTTTTAAAATAAATGCTAAATGAGTGCACCTTTTTTCAGCCCGTTTCATCCTGTCATTTCCATAAACGTCCTCCGCATAATGCCAAGACATCACCCTCTACGACCACGCTTCCTCAAAAGTTTGTCGACTTTTTTCGCGGCGTAAAGTGCACTTTGCTCTGTTTTGAACTCCGCGATGCCGCACTGAACTCCGCGATGCCGCAAAATTCGCGACGAAGTTGAAAAAATCTCGCGTCGCGGCGACTTCTGAGCTTTGCAGTGCAAAAAAGGGTCAATGCACAGTGAGGAAAGCTTGTGAAAAAAGCGTACGGACTTTTGAAAAAGCGGAAAACGGTATGTCGGGAAAATAATGAGCATAATTTCGCTGCGCCAATCGTATCGCTGGAGTGAAAAAAAAGGATTTTGCCGCGATAAAATCCATTTTCTCGGCAGCGATGCGATTTTCGATGCGACAGAGTGCTCATTATTTTCCCGACAAACTGATATGCGAATATCGAAAAGTTGGCCAATAAGGCTAACTGTTCATTTCGTGATATTCAATATTGAACATCCCCGTGTCATCATAAGCTCCAATCTGACGTGGCATTGGCCGTTATTCTGTTTGTTTTGGCGAGGAAAGGCGACATTTCTAATTTTTATTAACTAGATAATGGACCCTCGAAATGATGAATTTCCCAGCCCTTTAGCTAACTTATTTTATAGGCTTAAAATCTGGTGACCAATTCAAAAGTCATCAAATCTTTTTTCTCTCAAAAATCGACCGGAGACGCCCTTTTACCGTATACGGAATATAAGACCTGCGTCATGGCGTCTGACCCTGTGATTACTTCCCAGCTCGGGCTCTATTATCGAACCGGACACGGAAAAACTCAAAAATATGTAATTTTATACGTGAACGTCATCGAATTTTTTCAACTCTTGGCTTTTGGTACATGAAATACGTTGGCGGTACTAAACCAAAAATCGGTAGACAGTGGGATACGTATGTCGGCTAGACGGAAGATGGCGATTGTTTTTTGTATGATAAAGATGTGCACATTTGTTTATCCGCGATGGGTTTTCGTCGGAAATCTCGCTGAAAACAGAGAGAAAACAAGACCTGTCAATATTCAAGTTTTGCCGCGGATACACCAAAGTTTGTTATTGTTTTCTCGTCTTTGTAGTTGGTGAGGGAGGTTGAAAAAATTGTGGGCGCACGGAAGGGAAATGTATCGAAGAAGGGACAAAGTATTTTTAAGTGAAGTACTCCAAGTGTGACACTCAGATTTTCTGTGGACTTTGCACACTCACAGGGCATAGATCACATATCAATTCTTGGAAATTTTAGTTTGCGTTTTGCAGAGACAGCCGAGATAATCAACGATCTTTGTGGCCGGAGAGAACTCGAAAAGCGGAGAGCGGTCACAGCGAAAAACTTTTTTTGGCCATGTCTTTGCCAGCTTTGTGCAGCAAGAAATATTTTTTTTACACTATCCACTACTCTAGAAAAGGGCGCAAAACCTTTCATGTCAAAATTCGCAAAACAAGGTCAAATTTTTCCCAATTTTCGACGAAAAAATCTCGGTCGTTTCTTTAAGGTTGGAGCTCCATATAGTATGTCCCAAAAAAAGATTATTCAACATTTACGCCAAGTTTCATCAAAATCTGAGCGTCGCACTTGGGGTACGTCCCCTGTAAATTCAGCTTGCTGCGCAACTTTTCTGGCCTAAAGGTCCAAGAAAAAGTAAATGTTGTCGTATAAGACGTGGAAAAAACACGTTGCGCTCGCTCTTTCGAGACTGAACGGAAGTCTTGCCGCAAAACCGTGCTTTGTCTGTCAGCTTTGAAAACGTCAGGTTTAGTTTTTTTTTGTCATACAATCTCTTCTAGAACAAAAATTTTCCTATGAAGAGGCGGAAGAACTATTGGCAAACTTGTTTTCCGTTTGGCCGGCGCATAGCAGCAATCCGGGCCTGGCCTGAAGATCAAAACCAGAGGCCTCATTTCCCAGGCCTTGCTGGGAAATGAGGGCCAGACCGACCGGAAACCTTTGTAAAGTAGAGTACAGAGATAATCCCGCTCTCCTCATTCTACGAACTTTCTGGTAAAAAATCCAGTTGCTCGGATGCCCTTGGAAAGGTTGAAAACCTCTAAGGCATTTTGAATTTTTATGTGGTTTGTTGAAAAAATATCTGCAAATGTTTCAAGTGGATTCTAACGCCATGGCTTTTCAATTGCAGTGCATTCGAATTCTCTGTGAGTCCAGGAAGTTTCTACGATTATAAAATGATCTGCATCCCCTGAGTGATACTTGCAGATTTCTTAAAAATGCTCCTGTCCTTCGGGCAGCTCCACAGGTCGCCTCAAGCACAAAGTCCACATATTACTACGCTATTGCTTAATGCTTATTTAGTCAAAACGTTTGTGTCGGCACGTTTGCCAGCGTTTTCAACAATTCCCCAACCCGTCGTCCTCTAATTGCCGGCTGCGGGCGAGCACAAGACCCGCCGTCCGTTACGTAACAAATTCCATGCGTGTCGCACTCGCCACGCCAAAATCACGACATTCAATTTGGAAACTAATAATTCCAACGCCAAAACAACCGGCGTTTCGCGACGCGCCCACCGCCGGCGGCGTCGGCGGCATTTCCGCGAGCCGCACGCCATCCGTGTGTGTTGTTTCACTTGCGGGTTTGCGTAATTATTAACGGCCGCCCTATTTTTAGCGCATGATGTTTTTTCGCCCTCCGTTTTTGATGCATTTGTTTCGTGTTGTGTCGGATGAATGCGAAGAAGATTATCGAGCGCAACGTGAAGGATGAAAGAGTAATCTGGCTGCCGGTGCAAAAGCAAAAGCAAGCGGAGGCCAAAAGCTCAACGGTGTTCGAAATAGCCAACCGTAATTGGAGTTGCAATGCCAAAATTACGGTTCTTGCTTTTTTAACAGGAACTGCCTATTAAGGGTGTCTTGGCTTCGGTTTGTTTTTGATTACAGTCTAATTTTAGCAATGGCTTTTGTGCCGGCTAGGTTACGGTCAACGAAATTGGTCTTAAATATATAATAAAAGCAATTAAAATTATACAGTGGCTTTCCACGAGAACCTAGGTCCAATTAG